CAATGGACAAATTTATCTTTTTTCTCTGTTCATTCTTCCTTCAGTAAAACTATTGGTTGTCACATATTGCCAGCTGTAACGGTCTCGTTGCCGTCATAGTCCTTTGACGTTAGTGGATGGAGTCTACCCGACAATATACGAAATGCGTTGGCAGATCCTGAATTCAACATATCATCCGAAGTAGATTTATTATTGGGCGCTGAGATATACTATGAGCTAATTTGTTCACAGCCGTTGGTGATGTCAGGAGGTTTGCCTTGGTTGTACGATACGGCTCTTGGTTGGGTAATTTCGGGCCCTTTGTCAAAGGATGACGATCATAGCGTTGTCGAGGTATCCTGCGTCTGTGCACTAGGAACAACCACTGCGTGGATGAATTCAGAACCATTAATCAGGCAGTCGAAACATGAGGAGGAGTTAGCGTTTGAAAGATATTTTCAAGACACTCATAGTCGATTAGCGGATGGGCGTTTTGTCGTTCGACTACCGTTTCGAAAAGAACCATCACTGCTTGGGTGTTCAATGAATATAGCTCTCAAGGGATTCCTGACACTTGAGAAAAAAATGTGCAATAATTCAGAGTTGGCATCAGAGTATAAAAATTTTCTCAAGGAATATGAAGAGATGGGTCACATGTCGAAAATAGATGATACCGTCGCAACACCCGGTACTTATTATTATATGGGGTGCGATAGTATGTCGGTACCAAATTCGCCATATGGTGAGTCGAGTTAAGCTCAGTTAAACCTATGTTTAATATTCGTAATCATAATCTTACTTTGAATCTATATTTGAATCTATATACCTCACCATGCGGTGTATAAAGATTCAAGTAGCACCACCAAGTTGCGAGTTGTTTTCGATGCTTCTATGAAAACCACTACTGATTATTCTCTGAATGATATTCTGATAACCGGTCCTGTCGTGCAACAAAAGTTTTTCGATATAGTGCTGCGTTTCCGTTACTATTTGTACGTGGTTACTGCAGATGTTGCCAAGATGTACCGTCAGGTCCTTGTCCATGAGAATATGGGACGATTCCCGCTTCATTTTTAGCCACTAGAGTTCTTAAGGAGTTAGCACTTGGCAGCGCTACTGAATATCCTAAGGCAAGCTTATCAATACTACAAGACTTTTACATGGATGATTACCTTAGCGGTGCTGACAGCATGGAGGATATAAAGACCCTGTATCAGGAGGTTTCTAAAATATTAGGAAATGGTGGTATGCACCTGCGTAAATGGTGTTCAAATGCTGAGGAATTACGCGAACATTTTGCGTGTGCTTCTTCGGAAAAGCATTATTCTTTAGAACTTAGCACGGATATGACAGTGAGTTCTCTAGGGCTTATTTGGTGTCCCATAACCGATGAATTGAAGTTCTTGAGTAAGGAATGAACAGCAAGAAGCGTTAAAACCAAAAGAGATTTGTTATCAACACTCAATAGCGTATTTGATCCACTTGGCTTTTTAGGTACCGTCTTAATCCGAGGAAAGGTGTTTCAGCAAGAATTGTGGCAGATCAATTTGAATTGGGACGATGTTCTGCCCGAAAAGTTGCAAGTCAGGTGAACTACTTATATTCAAGAGTTAGAAGGATTACACCAGTTAAGGATACCTCGTGTGGTTAAAACGGATGGTCAAGACACAATGGAACTACATGGCTTTTGTGATGCGTCCCAAAGTGCTTATGGTGTTTACATTTACTTACGTCAGCAAATCGGACTAAATTTATGGACAGTTCGATTATTATGTGCCAAATCACGGGTTGCGCCTACCAAAACTTTAACTATACCACGATTGGAACTTTCCGGCGCACTGTTATTAGCTGAGTTAATGAATCGAATCGTCAAATTGAGCAATTTTAATTCAAAGGACGTGTATTGTTGGTGTGATTCAACGGTGGTCCTAGCTTGGATTCAGGGTACTCCCGCCCAATGGAAGACGTACGTGGCTAATCGTGTTACTCAAATTTTAGATGCGATCGGTAATGAAAGGTGGAGACACGTTCCTACCGATTGTAACCCCGCAGATCCCCTTTCGCGTGGAATAAATGTAGACGCGTTGTTGTCGTCGGATCTATGGTGGAATGGTCCTGCTTTTCTTAGAGGCGTCGAAGAAGATTGGCCAATCACATCCGGATCATATACGGTTTCTAAAGAAGCGTCAAATGAACGACGGCCTATTAAGTTTACTCTCACAACGACTGCTCCCGTAGATAATAGGTTACTTCAATATTTTTCGACCTGGCACAAGTTGTTGCGCATGACTGCCATATGGAAGCGGTTTATTGCCTGGGTCCGTCGTAGAGCGAAACCTACATCACCTCAACCAGGAACAGGTCCTCTTAGTGTTATTGAGCTTAATGACTCACGTGATATCTGGATTAAATTTTCTCAGCAACAGGCTTTTTCAGCAGAGATACAATAATTAAGCAAGGGTAATTCCGTAACTAAGGGATCGTTAAAAAATTTATCGCCGTTCCTTGACAAAGGGATATTGCGAGTTGGAGGTCGTTTGAAACATTCTGAATTATATTTGAACCAGAAACATCCAGCGTTGCTACCACGCAATCATTGGGTGACTCAAATGATATTCGAAGCCTACCATAAGAAGTTCCTACGCATCGGTCCTCAAGGTTTACTTGCAAATATTCATGCACATTTTTGGCCATTAAGAGGCAGAAAAATAGCACGCATAACCGTTAACAAGTGTTTAAAATGTTTTCGAGTGAAGTCTATTCCAATGCAACCATTAATGGGGCAGTTACCAGCTGCGCGAGTGACCGCAAATCGGCCGTTTACGCACACTGGAATTGATTTCGCAGGTCCTATTATGATTAAGGTTGGAATACGTAAGAGCACATTAATTAAGACTTATGTTAGTGTGTTTGTTTGTCTATCTACTAGAGCTGTACATCTCGAACCCGTCAGCGATCTGAGTGCAGATGCCTTCATGGCTTATTTACGACGTTTCATTTCATGACGTGGTTTGTCATCTCATATTTGGTCTGATAATGCCACTAATTTCGTGGGAACTAGACGTGAAATAATCAAATATTAAGCAAAACAAAGATCTGGAAGAACTGTATATGATGAACTGCTTGATGAAGGTATACAATGGATTTTTATACCACCATTAGCGCCGCACTTTGGAGGCGTTTGGGAAGCGGCCATCAAGTCCCGTAAGTATCATTTGGTACGCACTATTTTGGGCACGAGTATTAATTTTAAAGAGTTGTGTACCGTACTTGCTCAAGTTGAAGCGTGCTAGAACTCAAGACCCTTAAAACCGTTATCTTCAGATCCGTGGGATTTTAATGTTCTAACACCTAGTCATTTTTTAATTGGTGGACCTGCTCAGGTAATACCAGAACCGGATCTTTTGGATATATCAGCAAATCGATTACGAAAATGGTCATTGATGCAAAAAAACAATGAAAAACTTTTGGCGTAGATGGAGAATGGAATATTTGTATTCGTTACAGGTGAAGAATAAGTGGTTGAAGGGTGAAAAACCTATTCCTATTGGATCATTAGCAATTTTAAAGGAAGATAATGCACCACCATTAAAATGGCCTATGGTAAGAATAGAAACTGTGCATCCGGGAAAGGACAAGATAGTTCGAGTGGTTACGGTGAGACTAGCCAATGGTAACCAGCTGAAACGACCTGCTGTCAAGATATGCCCATTGCCAGATTGTTAAGTGTATTGAAGCTCAATGCTTCAAGGGAGGCGAGATGTTCGCGCTGCTTAAAAATACTAGATAGCGCGATTATTTAGTTCTGTCCACTCGTCCTCCCTTCCTCTCCCGGTCGCTGGGCGGCGTCGGCCGGTTATCATTGCCGGTCGACATGCGTATGTAATAAGATTTAGTATCATTTTTCTTTTTTCTTTGTTTTTTCAGACAGTTGTTTTTCTATTATCTAAGTCACACGGGTGGCATTTTCTATTATTTTATTTAAATTTCACGGATTATGTTTAATACTTTCAATTGCAAATCATTAGATTAAAATATTTACCTATGAACATTGGCATATAATAATTGTATATAAAAATCTGATTGGTGAGTTTGGCAGTTACTGTTACATTTATGTAAATTATTAACACATTATATTCATTATTGTTATTTTTATTGTTATATCACACGGATGTTTGGACTATAAAATTTATCATTTTGTACTGAATTGTTTATTGTTATTTGTATAAACTTATTTTTATGCGAGCCAACAATCTCAGTCTTCTTTTTGTATAAATTTAAATAAAAAGATCCTTTCTTATTAATCATCAGGTATGCGAGATATTATTTCTCACCCTGGTATTAACACAAACTTTTACGTAAAAATCGTAAAATTTGAGATAAAGCAAAATAAAACTGCCCATTTGATCGAATTTTCAACTCTCTTGCGACATGTGTTAACGTCAATCTATCGGAACCAAATTTTGCACAGCTTATTTTTACATGTATTAGGACAATTTTTTGGTAAGCGTAAATCAAATTTTGAAAATTTGTATTTTAAGGACCGTCCATATTTCTAATATTAAACCAAACTATCATAATATATCATATGCTAAATACTAAGTGTGTCATGTTACATAACTACTTATTTGAAAGAAAATAAATGGACAATTTTATCAATTTCAGCCAAGTTTATTTTTTAATAGAAAACTTTTTTTTTTTTTAATAGCTCTGTTTGTTTTTATTCTAAAACTGCAAATGAATTCTCATTTTATAGCTTTTGTAAAAATATGTAAATTTGTTGATATAAACATATCTAATGCATCGATTCGTGTTAAATAAAATAATTCTAAAACTGGTCCGTTTAAATATGTCCTCATTTTATAGCTTTTGTAAAAACATACATATTTGTGTTTATGAACATATCTTATTCATTAATTCATGTTTAATAAAATAATTATACATAATTACTATTTAAAGAAGATATTTTTTTTTATGATGTAATAAATATATATTTAAAATATATTATATTTCGAACAGCTATAAAATATTATTTATAATTTTTAAAAAGCCTTAAATATGAAATATGAAAGAAAATAAATCCTATTGCAAATAATATTAAGATTCCATAATTTATTTTGCAGTCTTAATTATGAATTTTTATTTTGTTATAATAACTTACATTTTTCTAAATTTGAATTTCGTAAGTATATGATAAAATTTAGTATACACGATAATAGTTTGTAAGGTTTATGGACAGTGGTCGGGATAGAAATATTTTTTCTACCTGGAAGTAATGTACACCTACAACAAATTTTTCTTTTTAATATGTTTCAAATACGCATTTAAACGTTTTACGATATTGATTTAATAAACTCCACTTTACTGAATCACTAGTGTACTTTAATTTTTATTTATAATCATAATTAAATCACATAAATATAATAACTGATATTACAGACATGGGGAAATGCAATGAAAAACGAAGAAGTAGAAAACAAAGAAGTAGAGAACAAAGAAGTAGAGAAATTGAAAAATTGTCTTTATACTAAATCCGTGATTAATAAAATTTATAAAAGTAAATAAATTAGATTAAATTACTAATACAATAAGCAATTTGAGGAGGCTGGAGAAAGAAACCTGGATTTCGAAGTATCGTATGTTCTTACTGTGGTTAATACTTATTTTATAAAGAGGATAGAACATTATGTATCTTATAAGAGCGGGAGTAAAATATCACAGATTGATTATTTTATGTGGAAGAGAGAGGGTAAAGCGTGTAAAAGATTGTAAAATTATCCCAGGTAATGGAGTTGTGGTGTAGTGGAAAGAGAGTATACAAAAACAAAAAAAACACAGGAGGAGAATCGAGGATTCGGTAGTGGAAATTGAAAGATGAAAAAGAATAAGCGGTAAAAGAGAGGATAGAGTAGAAATTTGAAGGAGACATAAATGATGTGTGGAATATAATTGTTAGCTGTGTAAAGAATTATGCAAAGGAAATTGTTGGCGAAAGTAGAAGTTTGATGCCAGAAAACATAGAAAATTGTTGGTAGGATGAGGACGTTCAAAGAATCATAGAGAGTAAGAAAAAACAGTTCAAAGTATAGCAGAAAAACTAAAGAAGAGAAGTTTGGATGAAGTATAAACGCATGTACAATAAAGCCAAGTGTGCAGTAAGTAAGGCGAAGTTTAAGAGGTATGATGAGTTGTATGATAGGCTAGGAACAAAGAAAGGCGAGAAATAAATCTATATAGATTTGCAAAAGTTAGAAAAAAAAAAGTTCTAAAGACAATCATTATTTAAGGTGTACAAAAAGTGTTGATAAGAGGGTGCTATCGAGTGATGATAATGATGAAAGGTGGAAAGAGTATTTAAAAAAAAAACTGAATGAGGAATATCTAAAAGACACATTAGAGGATATCTCATGGAATGAGAGAGTGATAGATTTAATTAGTGAGACAAAGATATGGGAAGCTGTAGCGTCAATGAAAAACAATAAAGCAATAGAACCGTATGAAATGACAGTAGAAGTATGGAAAATATTAGGCAATATTGGCATAAGGTGGTTAAAGGATTTCTTTAATAAGATTCTATTAAAAGGAGAAATGCCAAAAGAATAGAGGGATAGTATTTTGGTGCTGATATTTAAAGGCAAAGAAGATATAAAGAAGTCTATAAATTATAGAGACATAAATTCATGAGCATTGTATGAAGGTTTAAAAAAGGTAATAGATTATAATATAAGATATGAGACATTATTTTGTGTGAGAGAACTAATAGAATAGTATAGGGGAAGAAAAAAACTGTATAAAGTATTTATAGATTTGGAGATAAAAACGTATGATAAAGAGTTTAAAGTGGGCATTAATGAGAAAATGAGTTAGAAAAAGAAACATTAAGATAACAGAGGATGTATATGTTGGCACATGTTCAAGGTAAAAAATGTGGGTGGAATAACAGAAGGTTTTCGGGTAAGAGTAAGAGTGCACCAAGGTTTTTCTTTAAGCCCTTACTTGTTTTCTATAGTGGTAGATGAAATTACTAGAGAAATACAAGGAGAGATGCGGTGGTGCATGTTGTTCGCTGACGATATAATGTTAATAGGAGAAAATAGGAAGGAAATTAATCAAAGCCTAGATGTGTGGAGATTAGCTCTTGAAGAAAAGGGTTTAAGAATAAGTAGGAGTAAGACAGAGTATATAGAGTACGAATTTGATAAAGGAGAACACGAGTTAGGTGAAATAAGGAGACCAGTGACAATAAGGGAGGTCGTGATTGAAGAGGTGGAAAGTTTTAAGTATTTAGGGTCAGTTGTGCAAAAGAACGGTGGTATTGACAAGGATGTAAGACATAGGATTAAGTGCAGGTAGTTGAAGTGGAGAGAAGCGTATGGTGTCTTATGCGATAAAAGAATTCTAATGAGGCTGAAAGGTAAGTTTTATAAGACTTCTATATGCTATGTGTAAGCAGAAAACGTCTATTATTAAAAATTCTTATATATTATTATATTTCATTTTAACTGATTTTGGAGAATGGTTAATTAAAATTAAAAATTTTAAAATCAAATTCAATTAATTTTGATATTATAAACAAGAACTCTAAATGAGTTCAATTTTTCTATTCTTAAGTTAAAAATGTTTTTATTTTTTAGGATCCTTATCCATAAATTCGTATAGTAGTAGTTAAAATTATAAGACACTCTCAAATTTTATACATCACGCGTTTAGATTTTAAGCTTGTTCGCAATCATAAACGTTTAAATCTTCAAGTTAATGCATGAAACTTTTTTCTTTATATAATATGTTCATAAACTTAAAAAGAACACCGCTTATTTTGCATTAGTTCTATTTGCAACTTAATTTTATATTTACATTTTCGTTAATAATGTTATTTTTGGAAATACAGCAAATTTCAGTCATTAAATAATTTTAAAGACTTCCTAAAAAAAATTTACTAACATCCAACTGCGTAATTTTTTTTTCTACATTTTATTTGGATAATTAAGTTTGATGAAAATAATTTTCAAGGTGATCCAGTTAAAAATATTCAAACCACAGGCAAATAATGAGAATTTTTAAGCAACGTAATATTAGCTATTTTAAGTTTTTTTTTTAATTTACTGTCAAATAAGTACAATTTTGTCCACTACTATAGAGTTTTAAAATATTTGTTGTTTTATTTCAGAGTTTAAAACAGATTTACAGTCATTATTCAGTTTTCTATAATATTTTCAAGTTTTTCACTGTTATTGTTACATGTTTTAATACGGGTTTTATCCCAGTATTTCTTTGGTTACTTTCTATAATAGAAATAAAATTGAATAATAATTACGATGAGATTTTCCCTATTCTAAATAAGAGCGATAAACCAGAAAAGTAGTAATAATATTATTACAATATTGTTAAGAAATTACACCAATACAACGATTACAAGAGATTATTATAAGTTTTAACTTTTAATTATATGCTGTCAAATATTGTCATTAAATTGTAGCTGTATCGAACGCAGCAAGTGTCTATTGCCGCAAACTGTAAATAAAAATGTTTATTCTTAGAAGTAGCGTAGAAATATCTTAATATTGTTTTATTGTAGGTAAAACAAAATGTCAACTAATAAAATTTAAATTACTAATATCATATTATTACAACATCAATTTTTACATAAAAAATTTGTCCTCACATAATTTTTATATTGAGAAACATAGGCTTGCGCGTAATTATATTTTTCACAAATTCTCTGTACCCTATAGTAATAAAGTGCTTTCGTAAAAAAAAAAATTGAAATTAGGAATAAATAATTTTCCTAGAAAAGCGTTATTTTTTTTTATATTATTTTATTATATAATAAACTTCATACTTAGATATTTTCCTTTTCAATTTTGTATAATCTAGTTAATTATCTTTAAAATGTATAATTAATTAGCCACAAGTGATCAATTTTTATTATATTAATTATATTTTTTACAGATGGTAATTTTACAAACACTTTTTATTGGTTGGTTAAACAATGTCAAATAGAGTTCTCCAGCATTAATGTGTTGGATAAAACGAAAACAAATTTTAGAGAATCAATGCAAAAACTAGAATGCGGTTCACAAGTCCATGATACTCATAATCTTTGCTTACAGAATGTCGCATATTGTTGTAACACTTTCGTAGACGACCTTAGTCGATCGCCTTTATATTATGGCAAAGAATTTGGACATTTTATATCATCAACTGTGATTAATAACGTAAAAAAAATAATACCATTTAAAAATTAAAGCCGAAAAAAGCGATTTGTCATAAAGTTAAATCAAAACTATTACGTATGTAATACATATTTTTAGCAAAATGTATTAACATATTTTAATTTATAAAATTGTAAAATAAATAAAATGTTCGAAAACAACGGCTTTTGAAAAACTATAATCTAAAATTTATCATTTTTAAAGAATTTAAATGTAAAGAATTATTATAAAATGATTTTACAAAGTTAATTACATTGATCATATAGTATCACGAGTAATAAAAATGTATTTCAAGAAATTATCAATTTTCTAACAGAAAATTAAAAAAAAACCCAATAAATATTTATAAATGCAATTGTATAAATTTAATTTTTAAATAAATGAAAGTTCAGTAAAACAATATTGACTTTGAATTTATTTTATTTATTAACTAGGCTAGGCTTCACACCCGGAGTTCTACGAGCCTCACCCATCTTTGGCGCTTGGATCTTTGGGCTGTACTTATAAGTAGGCCACTGCTTCCGGTAGAAAAACGCGGCTACGCTGATTACAATAAGTGTTTTACAGGAAAAATATTACATCAGAATCAGTGTAAAAAACCCAGCACAGTGGAATGGCGGCACAGTGGGGTCGTGGCATAGTTGGGTCCAGTATAGATGATATTTGACAGTGATTAAAATCACTATTATAAAAAACGCTTCGATGCAAATCTGTAGATAGTGTTTAATTTAAAAAAAAAATTTGTCAAAAAAGTAGGTCAAATGAGAGCTGAGAAAATAAATGATAGCGACAAAAAAAACCACATAGTAAAATAATATTAATATGAATTTCTTCTCACGAGAGGAGACTACAGTAATGGGATCATTGATATTTATAGAAGTTATTGAATCTAAATGAAATAAAAATCAAATGAGTTAAACATTTTTTTCTAACTCAAAAAGAATTAAGAAAAAATTCAGTGCCACAGTGTTACCGTCTCAGAAACCGCACGTCGCATTCCTCACTTAATAAAAATGAAAATTTAGCTAGTTCAAATTTTAAAGTTATTTTTTTCGACTTCAAAAAAATAAAAAATTTAAATATATTTAACTTTTTATACTATGTCAATTATATTGATATAATATTTGTGAAAATCAGTGTAATCCCCTTTCAATAAAAAAAAATACAATACCAATAATTTTAACACAAAAATAGCATATTTTAATATGTTAGCTATTTTCACCATGAAGACAAAGTAAAGTCCGAACTTTTTTTTTTTAATATTTAAGTATATTACATAAGCTTTAATTTAAGATATATATAAAAGTGTCAGTATTTGCGGAACACTTCAAAAATTAAGTTGAAAAAGTTCTACTTTCTATATGCATTTTTATGTTTTGAACCTCCCTTGTATTAAGGGTAATGGTCCGATTTAAAAAAAAAGTATGTCGAATAAAAGAAGTATATAAATATTATTTCTTATAAAAAAATTGTATTGATCCATAGTTAATTTTTGAGTTGAGTTAATTTTTTGTCAAAAAGTTTTCATATTGAATCTCCCCCTGTGAGCTAGTAAAGGGTCAAATTTATAAAAAAAATACATCAAATGATAGGTAAGGATATTATGTATCTATAAAAAAAAATTATATTGATTTGTTCATTTTTGAAAAAGTTATGGTAGTTTAAAGACAAAAAATTGAAAAAATTAGCGATTTTTAAATTTGTAATTTTTTTTGAGTTTTCCGCCATTTACGGGGAACGTGGGAAAGTTTTAATTTTTGAGAGTAATGTCTTTGACTAGATACGATTTGTGATATTTTGACGTATCGTTGAAAGAAATCTGTTCGGTGAGAGCTGAGAAAAAGTGATAAGACATAAAAAAAAAACACATCAATATAAAATTAATACCTTCTCAGCTTCGCATCGAAGCTAAAAATGTAATTATTAAAATCAGGAAAATTCAAAAAGAGAAAGTAGTAAAATGTATTCGGTATAAGGTTGACGCGTGTTTACTGAGATATTGACCAGGGGCATATTCAAAAATTATTTTTAAAGGGTATTTAATTTGTTTTACTTTTATGAATATGTCATAGACAATTTTTTGCTAAAAATCAAAGTGATGATTAAAAAAAAGGTCTTTAGAGCTATATTTTTTAGATATCGGCCTTAAAAAATATTGATAGGGTTGGTCCAAGAGAAGCAATCGCCCATATCTCTCTTAGATGCGTCTCTGGCATACACAATAATTAATAATATTCTAAATATAACAATTCCCCCCAGGGGGACACTATGTATTTAGTGCTACGGGCTTAGCGGACCCGGGGCCCCGANCCCCCCAGGGGGGCACTATGTATTTAGTGCTACGGGCTTAGCGGACCCGGGGCCCCGAGCTATGGGCTGACTTTAGTTAGTTGGCTCAAACTGGTCCTCCAGGTTGGGGGTTTGAGCGACGGGCTAACAACCCGTCCTCTTTAAAAACAAAACTCTTGTTAAGAAACTTCAACCAAAGCCTCGGATTGTGGATAAAAATGGATCACGGAATGGAAATAGGAACCGGAAAAATTTGGAGTTACGGATTGGAACTTGGAATATAAGAACTTTATTTAAACCAGGCGCCTTGAAATGTATTATTGATGAAATCACTTGATACAAAATCCCCATAGTAGCCATACAGGAGGTTCGATGGCTTAATAGTGGTAATATACAAAGTGGCAACTCAATAATATTCTACAGCGGTCTACAAACTGGTAGACACGAGAAAGGAGTTGGTTTTGTGATTGATAAAGCAGTGATGACTCAAGTTAAAACATTTGTGCCAGTGAATGAACGCATCTGCTACCTACGAATATCTCACCAGAAACTAGATTTAATAATATTGAACTGCTATGCGCCGACTGAAAATGCAGACGACGAGGAAAAAAATAGTTTCTATGATACTTTAGAAAGAACTTTTGACGCATTGCCTAAAAATTGTATTAGGTTAATTGTTGGGGATTTAAATGCTCAAGTTGGTAGAGAAACATCCTTTGGACAAACGATCGGTAAAGAGAGCTGGCATGCTACCACAAATGACAATGGTCACAAAATAGTTGATTTTTGCTCTTCAAAAGACCTCATAATTAGCAGCACTTATTTCCCAAGAAAAAATATTTATAAACATACATGGTCTGCTCCAGATGGGAAAACAAAAAGTCAAATTGACCATGTCATCATAGACAAGAGGCACAAAACGTCAATTCGTAACATTAGAAGTTACAGAGGAGCCGATGGAGATACAGACCATTATTTAGTTGTTGCACCGTTCGCACTAAAGCTATCAGTAAAATGGAGGAGTAAGATACATACAGGAAAGAATAACAAACTTGACATAGAAAAAATTAGGAATTCAAAGGAGATAGATACATACCAAAGAGAGATATCTGAAAATCTCAGAAAATATAATCTTGCAGAACATGAATCGGATAACATAACATTGTGGTCAAAGACAAAAGAATCTCTAACAAAAGCTGCTGAGAGATTTCGAGGTAAGCACATTAAACAAAATAAAAATCATTGGTATAACTTGGAGTGCCAAGTTGCGATTAACAAGCGAAGTTTAGCTAGACAAAATATGATACTGAATCCTACACCAGAAAACATTAATGAATACTCAAAGCTTAGAACTGTAGCCAACAAAGTAATTAGACAACAGAAACGCTCAATGGAAAAAAAAGTTTTAGAAGATATCGAATTATATAAGAAAGAACCGAGACTGTTTTTCAAGAAGTGTAGGTCGGTTAAGGAAGGATTTAAAGCTAGTATTAATTTCATCACAGACAAAAGTGGTAATATAATTTCAGAACCTAGCGAGATTGTAATCAAATTTCAAGAATTTTTCGAAGAACTCCTAAATAACAAAAATAACCGCATCGGAAGTAACAATAATGAAAAGTACGAAGAATTAGTGTATCATACAGCAGAACCTGAACTTCTAGCACCAAGTATCGAGGAGATTGAAATAATCATTAAATCACTAAAGAATAATAAATCTCCAGGGGATGATAACATAAATTCTGAACTACTAAAAATTGCAGGAAAAGATGTACTAATTAACCTACACCAAATTATAACGAATATATGGAACACCGAACAAATAGAGCAGGAATGGTCGTCATCAATTATTTGCCCAATTTTTAAGAAAGGGGACCCAACAAAAGTTGATAATTATCGAGGTATTTCGTTATTAGACACTGCGTATAAGGTGCTCTCAATAGCTATCTTACGAAGGATAGAAGCATTCGCTTTTGACATAGTAGGAAAATATCAATGCGGCTTCACAAAAGGAAGATCCACCAGTGACCATATCTTTACGCTCAGACAAACAATGGAAAAGTATTATGAGTTTGACAAAGACTTACACATGATATTTATAGATTTTAAACAAGCGTACGATAGCATCGACAGAGAACAACTATGGATAGCATTACAGAATTTTGGGTTGCCCAAAAAACTTGTAAATCTAGTTAAAAGCTGCAATTCTAATGCTACATGCAAAGTGCGTTTCTTGGGAAGGGAGTCAGGGGACTTCGAAGTCAAGTCTGGTTTAAGACAAGGGGATGCGCTATCCCCGATTCTATTCAATATAGCATTGGAAAGAATAGTGAGAGATATGAATGAAACCCGAGAAATGGATTTAAATGGTAAGGGAACATTGCTAGCATATGCTGACGACATTGTCATTCTTGGAGACTCTCAAGTCGAAGTAGAAGAAAGTACAAATAAATTAATTAAGTCTAGTAAAAGAATGGGCCTCAATATAAATGAGAGCAAGACAAAATATATGATCATGAGCAGGCGTCCAAGAATTTTACAGAATCTCTCCGTAGATGAATATACATTTGAGCAAGTAGAAGACTTTAAATACTTGGGGGTTAATTTGAATAATAGGAATGATATGCATAACGAAATAAGGTTGAGGCTGAATGCGGCAAATCGAGGATATTATGCAATGAGCAAAATATTCAGTTCTAAACTTCTCTCCAGAGAAACTAAGAGAAAGCTATATATTTCCTACTTACGGCCCATAGTAATGTATGGTTGTGAAACGTGGTCAACAACTAAAGGGGACGAGACAAAGCTACTAACATTTGAGCGAAAGGTTCTTAGAAGAATATATGGTCCCATATATAATACGGAAACAGGTCAATATGAAAGGA